CTGAATCTACACTTGGCTCGACTTGAACCTGATGTGATGCAAGGCGAGGGAAGCGAAAATGCCGCCTTGAGCGAGGCAGCGGCTGGGCCACACGGGGGAGAGTCATTTCTCACCCACGTTGGGTGCATAGCCAGTCTGGACCGGCGCCCGGTGTTTGCACGAAGACCAGCAAGGGCTGCTCGTGCTGGGCGCGCCGCTTGGGAGTGAAACCTTCGTGCAATAGGAGCTGCACCGCAAGCGTGAGGTGCAGCACATGTTTGTCCACCGTTTGTGACCTCAGCGCGCGTAGCTCCCGTTTGTTTTTTGTGCTTCGAAGCTTCCACAAAAAAGACACTACCTGCAGATGCTCTCCCGCATCCCGACGGCAGAACTCGACCGACGGTGCGAATCGTTCCGCGCCGGTCACGGGGCAGATCTTCTGCGCCATCTTGCAGGGGGAAGGCGGCGAACAGGGGGATCCACTCATGCCCGCGCTTTACGCGCTAGCGCAGCATGAGGCCCTCCGCGACCTGCAGAGCCACCTCCAGGATGGTGAAGCTGCGTTCGCGTTCCTTGACGATACCTATGTCGTCGCCGCGCCCGAGCGCGTCCGCACGCTCTATGATGCTCTTGCGTCTGCGTTGTGGAACCGGGCCAGAATCCGCCTGCACCAAGGCAAGCCGCGGATTTGGAACGCTGCCGGCGAGGAGCCCCCCAACATCAGCGACCTTGGCGATGGCGAAGAGAGCGTCTGGGTCGGCGACTGGACTCTCCCGCCGGAGTCCCAAGGCTTCAATGTGCTCGGATCCCCTTTGGGGCTTGATGCGTTCGTCGCACGCCATCTCCACCGCAAGCGCGCTGACCAGGACAGGCTCCTCGAGCGCATCCCCGGTGTAGAGGACCTGCAAGCAGGGTGGCTCCTGCTTCGTTCTTGTGCCGCCACGCGCGCTAACTACCTCCTGCGCATCCTCCCCCCCCACCTCACCGCTGACTATGCAGCGGAACATGATGCAGCTGTCGCCCGGTGCCTTTCCGCCCTCCTCGAACAAGGAGACGCCCCCCTTCCACCCACCAGCCTCAGCACTGCCCAGCTCGCTCAGCGGTTCGGCGGGCTCGGTCTCCGCTCCGCCAGCGCTTCCTGGTGCGACACCTTGCCCGTTATCCAAGCCAGGGCGCCTGCTGCGGCCGCCCGTCTCCACGCTGCCCTGCAAGGCGACGGGGCCTTGCCCTCGGCCGCCGCAGCAACCCATGCCCAGACACAGCTGCGCCGTGCTGACGACCCCTGGCCGTTCCGGGGATGGCAGCGCGTCAATGCCCGTACGTGCGATGAGCGCGCGTACGAGACGCATCTTGCTGACCTCACTCCTGCGTCTCGTGCGCTGCTGCTCTCGCAGGCAGGGCAATTCGCCTCCCGCGCCCTCAACGTTCTGCCCACCCACGATGACGTCGCCATTCCCAGTGCGCAGTTCCGTGTCCTCTTGCTGCGGCGTTTGCGCCTCCCCCTCCCGCTCGCACCACGCAGATGCAGCTGCCCGGGTGTGCTCGACCCGCTCGGCGACCACCGCACCGCCTGTGCGACGTCGGGCGTGCTCGCCACCCGCGCATTGCCCTTGGAGCATGCCGTCGCGCGCGTCTGCCGTGAAGTTGGCGCGCGGGTCGCACGCCACGTGCGGCTCGCAGACATGCCGCGCGCCGCAACCGCACCCAAACCTACCCCGAGTTGGACCGAGCGCGCCGCTGTCGGCTAGTCGTCGTCGGCGTCGAAGTTGGCGGCAGGTTTGGTACCGAAGCAGTACAATTCCTGCGCCTCGCCTCCTGGCTGGCCATCGGGCAGCGTCGGTGCCAGCCCACCTGCGGTCCGCCGCAGTCGCCTCCTGGGTCGCTCGCTGGTCCGGACTGTTGGCTGTCGCTGCCCAGCGCACCTACGCAGCCACGCTCCTCGAACTCCCCCCTGCCGCCGAGCTCGGCGAAGGGCCCATGCCTGCCTTGCATGAGGTCCTTGCCGATGCGCGTTGGGGGTGAAGGCGCGCAGTCCCCCCTTCCCCAAGCTTCCTTCGCCCGTAGTGCGCAGGTAGCACAGGGACCCGGACGTCTCGTTGTGCAGTCATCAAAAAGGCGCGTGAGAAAAAAAAAACCTTGCTATCCCGAAGCTCCTTACGAGCGTTGCCGGCGCATTCACAGCACCATCGCGCGACCTTTCCCAGCCACGCGCGCGACCGCGCGCGCTTGAGTTGCATTTCTCTGAGCTTGATAGCGCATCTCGAATCCTGCTGCTGTCGCGGGCCGGGCCGCATGTAGCGCGGGCCTTCTACGGTCCTTCCAAAATAAGCGGAGCTGACTGCTGCGCCGGCTCTGCCTGGCGCTGCCGGTCGCTCCGGCCTCCTGCGCTTGGGTCCCCGCGGACGTGCGCTGGCAGCTCCCTGTGCTCCGAAGCCGCTTGGGGCCGCGCCAAAACCCTGGCACCGCAAGACACAGTCAGGGGCTGCGCTAAAGCCCCAGCAGGGGGTGCTCCGTAGGACACGGTAGATGCTTCGAGACTATAACTAAGCTACAAAGCTTTTGTAAAAGCTTGTGTGATGAGAGCACCACATGTGTCAACGCATGATAACGCATGAAAATTCGATGGCTGCTTCACGCAGCGTAAGTTCTAGAAAATGGGTGCCCAGGTTGCGTAAGGGCGCGCGCAAATGCTGATGCCGCAATACACCACAAGGTCGATGTGCCGCGTGAGCTCATCATATTTACGTCGTTGTTTGCATCCCACAAAGTACGGCGGCATATCGAAGACGGAAGGTTGTCTCGCCGTTTCGGACATTGATGTACCGAACAGGACCCAGCTGCGGTAGAAAACAGAGTTTGTATTGGTGCAATCAATCATCAAAGCTCTCTTCCGTTTGCAGCTGCAGCACCCCGCGCAATTTTGATGTCCGTCTACAATGTGACGCAGCGATCTTGGCCAGATTGAAACAGTTTGTTGATACGGTTGTTCGAAAAGTATGGTCATCCGGGCACTGCTGCCGCTAGATTCTTAATTTGTCATTGATAATATTATCACCACCCCCTTGTGGCTTGAAACGGGGGGGGGGGTGAGGCTCTGAAATATTTCAGGGCAGCTTCGGTCGAGGTGGGAGTTCAAAGCTGGGGGGTGGGGGTCGGGCTTGAAATTTCAGGGCTTTCGTGGGATATCGAAGCATTTTCCATTTCAAGATAATTGCTGTTCGTTTAAGGTTTAGACCCTAAGCCCTAAACCCTAAACCCCAGTAGCCTACTGTCCACTGGTCGCCTCTAACGCGCGCGCCAGTGCGCACGCGCGTTGTTGGAGACCGAGACCTTCGGCCTTCGGCCCTAGGGAGCGAAGCGCCTGCTTCTCGGACCTAGTAAAAGGAGCCACATCAAGGGGAAAGGGGCGGGGCTGTGGCAACAATGTGGTGGTGCATTGCCGTGGTGGTGCTGTAGTGGTGCGTTGCTTTGCTGTGGTGTGTTTTTAGTGATGTGGTGTGGTCTGGTGGTGTCTGCTGGTTTCTGGTGGTGTATGGTGTCTGGTCATGGTGGTGTCTGGTGCAGTGCGGATCAGTACCCCCTTGTCGGGGGCTTGTGCCCACCAAGGGAGCTGCTAGACGAAGCAAAAGGAAGCGGTTGCGAGTGCCGAGATTTTCACTGCATGGACAGATCTGCGGACCCAAGCGTACCTACCTCCCACTCCGAGCACCCCTGTTGAAATTTCACGGAACCTTCACCCCCCCCTAGGCTCTATTCTATTTCATGCGGGTGGCTGAAACGGATTCAGCCTTATAAGGGGGGAGGGGGGGCCTCACCCCCCCCCCCCCCCCCGACAAGGGGGTATTGATAATTTGTTCATGGATTATGCGTGGTACTTGTGTTCCGGATTGTGGGCCGAGGTCAGCTTATACAATTTGATCCAGCTTTTTTCCCAATAAGGGGGCCGAGATCACGGGCCGATGTCGGAACTTCGCAGACCTAAGCTCCGTGCAGCAATCTGTGACAAGCTTACAGGGGCAGCCAAACTCTTTGTTTCAAGAGACTCAGACCTGAAACAACCGTCTTCGGTCAGTAGTGAAAAGGAAAGACGCATCACACTTACGGCGATAGGCGTCAAGGCAGCATCAGGCTAAGGAATCTTCAGAAAGCCATCGCTGCAGGTGACACACAGAAGCTACAAAATGCACATGAGCTGCAATCCAAGATCGAGAATTATGCGGATGTTGTGGCAAAAAAACAAACCGCAAGAAATTCTCGTTTGCGAGCTGGGCAACATCGATCACATAACTTCGCATACGACTCTGCCAGATCTGACGTTGCTCATCAAATAAGGGACACTCTCACAACCCATGCAGACTGCAGCTTGGATTGCCACACAAACACATATGCTGCACGAAAGCGTCCCCTGCACGGTGACGTGCACTGCGCCCATCCGGGAATGGATGATGCCCACACCTTTTAGGCGCTTGGACTGCTGCAACCTGACGCGGGTTAGCAGCAAAGGGGAAAGGCAGGGGGGGGGAAAGGACCTAAACCCAAAAGGACCGACAGGTCCGCTACGAAACCCCTCGGGCAGCAGGCGCCTTGCGCCAGCCGTCTCGCTGTCCTCTATTCTGCCACTCTCTGCGGCGAATCGAGCCCATAACATGCAAGCGCTCTTTCACGATTTTGATTTGCTGAGCATCGGTAGCTAGCGAACCGTCCCAACCTAGCCTAGCAGCAAGCTCGCCCGGCGGACGAGGAACCCTACGAAGATCAGCATGCCCCGCGCAGGACCAAAGCACATGATCCACACTCGGAACCACCGCCTGACGACAGTCCCAACACCAGCCGTCTCGCGCGCCAGCGCCCTTGCGAGAGGCATCAGTGTGCATGCCCCCGACCAAACATGCTAGAGCGTCCCCGTCCAACTCCTTAGCAATGCCTCGCAACCTATCAAGGAGGACGTCGGAGTAGCTCAGGCCAGCCGCACGGGCCACCTGCGAGTCTCTGCGACTCGAAACCATCCACTCAGCGAAAGCATGTTGCCTCCACGATTGGCGCAGTTCATGCAAAGCTTTGGCTTGCTGTTGCAACGAACACCGGACGTCAAGCGAGCCGCGCGGGCCGTGCCACACACCCCAACCACGGTGCAGCCAGCCCCAGGGGCGAAGGAGAGACGAAACCTGACTCATCAAGGCCGGCTGAGGAGCCTGAGGACTCGGAACCGGGAGCCGCCGAGCAGAGCGAAAACGGGTCCAACGACAAAGAGCGGCCAAGACGCGGCCGACGGCGAAACACCTGAGGTCAGCGAAGTGACCCCACGCGACAGCACACACAAGCTGACGGCTCGCACGCCCAGCACCGTTTAACCGACCCTTGATGGCAGCACGCCAAGAAGCCCAATAGTGGTTGGACTCGCCAACGGTAGGAGAGCGACCGGTAATGAGAGGCCCCCAAGCCGCACAAGGAGGAAGCATCGCACGGGCAACTTGGAACCTGAAGCTTTGCCTGACGGGGAGCAAGCCAATGCGAATGCCTTTGGCACGAACCTTATCCAAACGGGCCTTCTCGGCAACAGCCTGCCGCCGCCAAGGAAGGCCCATGACCGCCCCAAGGACTTCGCCTTCACCTTTAACCGCCGGGTGGCGGCCGTGCAACGAAGCCGCCGCAGCCGGCGTGCGGCCCCAGATCTGGGTTTTCTCGGCATTCGTGCACATGCCGGAGATGGTGCTAAACTCATCCCACTCAGAGACAACGGCAAGAACACGCGGAAGAGCGGTACCGACGCAAGTACGGTCATCGAGGAAGAGGACCTGCTTGACATCGGGGAAGCGAGACTGACTGCGAGAAAAGACAGGCTGGAGAGCCGCCGCCAAAGCCAAAGGAGCAAAGGGATCTCCTTGCGGCAGCCCACGAGCACCGTGGAGGGCCTCGTGGGCGACGCAACCACCAACGCAAGTCCAACGGATCTGCCCACGCCACTGGTGCTGCAGAAGAGTCAACGCCGGACCTTCCAAACCCCATTGCCGGAGAGCATGAAGAGCAACCTCGGGCTCCAGACTATCAAACGCCTTCAAGATGATGCCCACACCGGGCCAAAGTCCATTCACGTGTAACGTGTGTCGGAATCCTACCGTGCACTTGCACGTCACACTCAAGATAGGGATGATATGCCAGGAAAGGCCTCAAGGAAGACACGGTCACAGCTTCTGAGTGGTATTGTGCCCATGCCTGATTCTGTACGAGCGGCCGGATTACCGACCTATTCCACGGCAGCTGCGCCGCTAGAGCACCCGGCACCACAGCCGGCAGAAGACCGCCACTGGATTGTAGCTGCAGCTTCACGTCGTGAGCCCAAGACCCTGGCGAGTGCACAGCAAAGTGGAACACCCGACTAGCAAAGTACGAGCGTCATCCGTGCCGCCAGCAGCACATAGCCGGCCAAAGAAGCTGAATTGCAACCGGCGAACTTCAACTGACAGAGGGCGCCAGCCCAACTCGCCGCCCACGACAGCCGCTCCGGGTGTGCCCCGAGGCCACAAAAGCAGACAGCGCCCAAATTGACGCATTTTCTTGTCCAGCATGCGGAGGGCAACATCATCTAAGAATTGAGAGCCGTACAAGAGCGATGGTAGCACATACGAGCGAAAGAGACTCGCGCGGAAGCTGGTGCACAAACCTGGGGACTATCCGCCCAACCCAGGCACTGATGGAACTTGCCAGTGCTTTTGTCAATACGCTGCGCGGCATGCTTTTGCCACTTCCTGGAGGCTTGAAACACCACCCCGAGGTAACAGTATTGACTGACACATGGCACTGCGGCTCCCTGAAGGTGGAATCTGAAGCTAGAGGAACGTGAGCCGACTACAAGAACAGCGGTTTTGTCAGGACCAACGCCAAAAGAGAACCGCCACTGCGAGCCCCATGCGCCTACAGAGGTGAGAGCACTTTGCAAGTCCGACGGGTCGTCGGCAAGGAGGACAAGATCATCAGCGTACAACAGCAAGGTGACCCGCGGTGCATTGGGACCGCTACCAAGCGCGACGCCTGGGCAAGCTGCACGAACAGCTTCAGCAACGCTGTCAAACAGAAGGTTGAACAACAGCGGGCCCAAAACACTGCCTTGCCTAACCCCAGCCTGTTCCGACCAAGGCTCAGAAAAGGAACCGTTGACAGAAACTCGCGCAGTGGTATTGGTGATCAAATCCGCAATGACTGACCACAAGCATCCTGTGACTCCGGCAGAAGCCAGCTTAAGTAGCACAGCATCCCGCCATGCCACGTCGAAGGCCTTCCGCACATCCACAAATGCACAGAATGTGCGACGACCCGCCCGAAGACGAAGCGTTTCTGTCAGGGTGTAGATTTGCTCCTCAGCCCCCCACCGGAATCCAGCCTGACTCTCATCGAGCACGGGATCAATGTGCGGCAGCAATCGCTTCAACACAAGTCGCTCAAATATCTTCTGACAGCTGCACAACAAGCTGATCGGCCGATAATTCGTGAACTGGTCTGCAGCACCACCCTTGTGGAGAGGAGCAACGACAGCAGAACGCCACACGGTCGGGACGATCGACCAAGACCGCACAAGCTCGAAGAATACCAACAGCGCGGAGCGTAAGCACGGATCCTCAACCCGGAGTGCTTCGTAGGGCAAGCCATCTGGACCAGGAGAACGCTCACAGGGAAGCTCCTGCAACACTCGAAGCAATTCAGCCTCCGAAAACGGAAAGTCAAGGTGACCAGTGTTAGCAGGCATGGAAGCCCTCAACTGTCGAACCGCGTCTTCAACATCAAATGATTGCGAATCGGGATTCACAACAGCAGGCCGAGCATTCAAAGGCACGTCGCGGAAGTGAGCACGCCAAGCATCTAAGCAAGCTGGACCTTCAATAAAGCCATCGTGAGGGTCAGATGAATGCATGGCACAAGGTAGCACACGCCGTCGCATCCCCATCTGCTGACGAATGTTTTGCGTGCCATGCGGGGGTTGTTACGGGCCAATTGCTCCTGCGAATCAAGCCACGTATTCCAGAACTGGGCCTTCTTGCGACGCACAAGATGGTGAAAACGAATCCGCTTGGCACGAAACTCTGCTCGAAGTGTTCTCTCACGCTGCCAAAGCCGATAGGCCGCGTTTCGTGCAACCATCAGGTCGTAACACTCAGAATCCCACCAGTCTGGCTGGGGACGACGCGGGTGCGGGGAACTACGCACCAACTGCCCTGGCAAGCTCCACAGCAAGGCTACAAACTCACCGTAGAGAATATCGACAATTGCCCGCTTGGAGTCAACGCTTGCAGTGTTGCACTCGTCTCGGAGATGCAATATTCGCGACGCCCACCTGAGGAGGTCAGGGCGCACGGTGCAAAGAACAGCACGCCAATCCCGGACTTTGGGCCAACGCGGAACCTTTGACACAGCTGCTGGCGTCACCAACACATCAAACGTAATAAGCCGGTGGTCACTACCGAGGACTGGATGGCAACATGGAGAGGGACAACCACATGAGACACCATCATGGACAACCACGTTTCTCACATCCAACGACCGAGATGCAAGAACCAAGTCAATAGAGGAACCGGACCTGTGAGTGGCAACGTGCATTGGGTTAAGGATGGATAAACCAAAGTCGCTCAGGAACGCGCGGGTAACAATACGCAACTGAGTTTCGCAGCTGCGCTCCCTGCCCGCATCCATGACTTCAGACAAATACACATTGGCCTCACCTGCCAAAAGCAACTGTGCACCAGGGTCGAGCTGCAAAATGTGCTGGACGGATGCCCGCAAATGATTCCAGAAGGCGAGACGCTCAGGCATGGACATCCCAACATGTGGAGCATAATAGCTGCATATCAGAATTTTTGCTTCATCAGGTGATGTCGCAAGGACTCTCCAACGGATACGAGGAGACAGCCCAGCAGACGAGACAGACCACGAAGCGGATGCAGAATGAACGAGGAAGCCGGCTTCACAACCGCCCAGACCCGTGGGGCCATCATAGCTGTAAGGCTGATCAATCGGAAGCGACGCACCATCTGGTGCCCGAGTTTCTTGCACGCACACCAAATCCACAGACCACGACTCTAACAAACTCGACAACCCATGAAAGCCAGCATGCTCAACCCCGCTCGGCGACCAAAGAAGATTCGCGTTTAGAAGCGCCAAGCTCAAGCGGGTCGACCCTCGCGCCGGCGATGACGACGGAGGCCGCTGGCGTTTCCCTGATTCGCAGCGGCACGCAGAGATTCTGCAGAGGCGCGGATGCTTTCAGGCAGTGCCGACAAGTCATGGGGCAAAGCTCAACAATCACGCATCAAACCCTGTGATAGCGTGCGTCCTGAATAAATCCATCGGCGCGAGCTGTGGTGTGGCGGGCGGCATGGCTCGTCGGGTGTGAAGAACGTGTGGTGGGTTGCAATGTGTCGCACAAAAGATATGTGCCAGAATGGCCGGACATTTGATACGATATGTTTCCTATCCGCGCGATGAGGGGCAGTTCGGTAAGGCTTTTTGATGCGGCCTAAGTACATCACGCCGTTGTCATGCGCTAACGAAGTGAGTCGGTGTCGTAGCTGGTCACTTGGTTCGCGTGCAGAAACCGGATTGGCTGCACAAGGCCGCTCGAGAAACCTGCCAGGCAGTGCTGCACACGGATCCCCGACAGTTGCTGGAGACACTGGAAGCTCAAGGGGGCCACGATGAAGTTTCAGCTCGAGCATTGGAGGCCACCAACAGGTGAATCGTTTGCTTCCCGCAACGCATGATCGCCGATTGCGGCGTTGAGAGTTTGAGCTGGCAGGTTAGCCGCAAGTTGTTCGACTTTGCGGGCATGGCCGATTCTATTGGGAATGCGGCGCAATGGTGCCAGGACACAGTGAACCAGGTGGGCTGGGATCCAAGCCAAAGTGTCATGCTTTTCGCCGACATGCGTGCTAGGTGCAAAGCAAGGTTGTGGGAGTGCAGGAAGCGGCAACTTTGATCCAGGGTGCGACACTTGACGGCCACAGGCAGCAAACGACCCATCTTTCGTACGCAAGTACAAACGTAGGCGCCCAGAAACTCCAATATCCTTAATTAAGGAATATTCCTTAAATCAGAGTAGGATCCCTAATATGATTTACGGAATATTCCATAATTATGGGTTATTGGAATCTCTTGGCGACTTGAACACTTTGGCGTGTTCTGCTCGGCTCAGGAATGGGTATGTGCAAGAAGGCACGCAGCTTACTGGACAAGCCTGGGACAGCATGAAAGGACTGGGCGACAAGATGGGCACAATCTACAAAGGCGCATGCTGTCGGAATGCGGGTGTACGTATTGAAGGTGTTCCGAAATCGTTCGAGCAATTGCCCAAGATTCGGGTTCTGATGTTGTTCCATAGCAAGCCCTTGCTTGCCAGATTTCGAGCCGCTTCAACCGGCTTTTGCCAGTCGTGGCCTCAGGGTTTGAGGCCTTCGATCTTTGCCGGATCCACATCCTCCAGCATCAAGGTGCCAGTGGTGCGACACAGATCACCACGGATCAAAACTTTCTGTCCAAGTTGGTGCACTGCATCCGGGAGATCATCAGCAGACGACCGGCTGAAATCGGAGCGAATGTTTGTTGGTTTGCAAACGTTTGCTTGTCGAGCCTTGTTCATTTCGTAGGGTTTCCGGTTCTTCCAGGGCTTTCGGGAGTTGAAGGCAACAGCATCCTTGACATCCTCGGGTCGTCGCTCGAGAAGGTGACCCACATCTTCACACAGATCAAGGATATTTTGGTGGGTCTTGGGCCACTCTGCAAGTTGATTCCTCGCTGTGCAGGACACCGTCATGAGCATTATGTCGAAGCTTGGAAGCCGAAGGCCTGAACCACCCTCCAGAATCCTTCATACATCTCTGTAGCCTCCCGGGCACTTTCACTGTACACTTCTCAAGCATTGCCAAGCTGTGAGAGGGCAAGCCAGACACGAGGCAAGATCGTCTCAACAAGTTGCATGCTCCTTGACATGTTGTGCTAAACCGGTAGACCCTGATCGCTGGAATCATTGGCGGTTGTTGCATTTTGTGGAGAGATCTTAGCCGGGCAAGGACAAGAAGATGATGATGATGATGATGATGATGATGATGATTACGGTCATTCTCAATCATGACCCATAACCCACATTTGGTAATGCTGATGCTGATGTCGGGGTGTGTTGGTGTCGTCGACGCACGCTCATGATGCCGGCACCAATGACGACACTGGTGGTGCTGATTCCAGGTATTGCTGACAGTTGTAATGGCGCTCTGCAGTCGTGCTGACGGTGCTGACGGTGAGACAGAAAACAGGATGGTTATGTTATGATCATGATGAAGATGATTCCGCTGATTGTCGATGCTGATACATGCTGATAGGCACGCCGCGCCGAAGGCGACAGCCGGTGTTTGAGCATGACCAGGATGCTTGAGGTCAGGATGTTGGTGAGATGGGTAATCCCGACGAAATTGACAGCGGGCAGAGTAGTGCTAATTGTGATCATGATGATGTCAGAGGTGAGTATTTTTTGCGGAGCGAATTTGTCGATGGTGCACTTGATGCAAATGGTTTCGATGACAGTTGTGGAAGATGAAGAAGATGATGATTGCGATTTCGGGGATCATCAGCCGTGATATTAGGTACGTATGTGAACGATCGTTTGCCGACACAGTGATGGTGATGGTGCTCGTGATGATCATGATACTATCATGATTTTGGTGTTCCTTGGGTTGCTTTTGTTGCTGTTTGTAGGGGGCTGATGTGCCAGGCTGCGGCAGGCCGGGGAGGAGGGCCGGCGCCTTCTGGATTACAGTCAGCCACTGACTGTGAAGGTGAGATCTTTTGAGGTTTCTTCCCCCACTTTTGTGTGGGTTCTTACTTTCGGAGGGAACTCTTCCTAGGTGGCTTCGGAGGCAAACAGCGGTTAGGCCCTGTTGAAAGTTCTTCTACTAGTCGGCCTCAGCTTGATCCCTGCGTACCATGCAGGAGGCGATTTCGCATGCTTATGGTCTATACTCTGTGCTATGATGCTGCGGTCTGCTCCGGAATCTTAGTTCGAAATCTTGCTCCCGCCGCAGTGCGCCGCAGCCCTGCCACAGTCCCACACATTTTGCGGTCTTGGTCGTCGCGGTGCGTCATGGTGGTCTGCTGGTCCTGGCCGTAGTGGTCATCGTGGTCGTCCCGGTCGCCTTGGTTGTCTTGGTCGTTGTGCGGTGCGTGGTCTTTCGCCGTTTGGGGATCTACGTCGGCATAGTGAACCGTTGTGGTTGGAGCAGTTCCCATGAGCTTTGCACTTTGCGCAGCCCAGGCTGCTTGATGGAATTGATTTTGAATGGATCGGAAGCAAGATCACAGGCTTTGTGCCTGTCCTGCAGCTTCAGTTGTCTTAACATCTGAAGTGCAAGTCGATTGCGCGGCCTCCATTGCCATATGTGTCACCCCCTTAGTGAGGTGAAGACGATCAAAACTCAATCAGAAAATTTGGCCAAAAGCTCAGTTGTGCCATGCTACCTTTTCATGCAGATGCGGCAGTGGAAGTTGTGCATGCGTTCATGCTAGAGCGATGGCGAATAGTCTAGTTATTAAGAGTTACAGACATGTCGTTGGCATTGACACTGCATGCCATTGATGTCTGAACGATTTTGAACAGTTTTGGTGGGTTCTGATGTCTGGGATACGAGCGTCCAAGTTTCAGTAGTCCTGCCAAGATAGGATGTAGATGTTGTGGTTGTAGTAGCTCTCCCTCATTAGTTTCATGTCCCCCATGAGCCTTGTTTCCCAGATTTAGGCGACTGTGATTTTGCTTGTCTTTTTTGGCACACTTTTCACGACCAGTACAAGCGCGGTCCCAGTGCGCCTGCAGGCTACGTGGCAATTGCGACCTTATTAGTCTTGCTGGGAGTCGGCTTTAGTCCCAACATGCGTCGACAAGGACCTCATGCTGGTCAGGCATGGGTCCCTCACCCAACTCGGCGGCCGGGTGCAGCTCGAGCAGTGTTGTCGCAGAACTGTCTGTTTGGGGATGACCACAAGCAACAGTTAGTCCTGTCAAGGCTCAAGATTCCCTCCCCCATGGTGCTGCTAGACCTGCTGGCCAGCATCACAACCTGACCTAGATCTTCCGCTGTCAAGGTGTGAGGCTTTCGATGTCGAATGGCAAAGGCAAGGAATGCCCTGTCTGGGTCAGCACACCAAACATGAAAACGGACGGTGCCACGTGTAACGTGGAAGACATGTAACCCAAGAGGATCACGGAAAATGAAATTGACATCTTCGATGCTTCCACGAAACAGGCAAACATAGACAGTGGCAGCCTTGGTGTATGCATTCAAGTTCGACCATGGGAGAATTGATTTCGCATGGGCATGTCGATGGCGCCAGAAGCATCTTTGTGAACAACAACATAGCTGCTCGCGCAAGTTGCAAAGGTGAGAGCCTGCGCTCAATGTACTCTGCCTACCGAGGGCGATGTTTATGGGTTCCTTCAGTTGAGGAAGCTCTGTGCACATCTCAGGTTGACATTGATACCGTCCTGGGCCCAATGCTGGCCCACATGGACAAGACCGGCCAGGCAGGTCTGCAAGGTCTTGAGCGGCGGTGTGTAGGACCGTAGGAGCCTGGTTTTCTTCCTTGGGCCGAAAAGTATCCGTCGGGCCCTGCAACGAATGCTTTACGAGTGTCGCGTGTTGGCTGCACGTCGCCGCTGGACTCAAGCGGTGCACGGGTCGTGTGGCAAGTGGCGAAGCACGGAGCGAAGCACGGTGCTGCGTGCTTTGGAGATTTTCCAGGGGTGTTGTGGCCTCCGTGACGAAGGCCGAAGGCCGCCGGCCTTGGGGGCATGCCTGCGATGCTTCCGGAGCTGACGCTGCTGCGCGAGAGCCCATCTGACACGCCTGTCACGGCGGTTTCCATTCTATTGGAGCCGTACCTGGAGGACTGGCGTCGGCGACCCCGTATGGCCACGGCGATTCTCAAGCGATTGGCGAAGCAAGGTCGATCTCGGCTTGCAGCAACGGTGTTGTCAGCAATGGCAGCACATGGTGTGGAGACGAATGTCTTCCATTATAGTGCAGTGCTCACTGCGTGTGCGTCTGGTGGGCAGTGGCCTTCGGCTTTGGCTTTGGCGCAGCGCATAGGATGCTCAGGCATGCAGATGGATGCAGTCAGCGTGGGAACGCAGATGCGGGCTTGTGCTCGAAGTAAGCGTTGGGACTGGCCTCTGTCTCTGCTGATGGACCTGCGTAGCTCTGCTTGTCAACTGGATGTGGTCGTCTACAACACTTGTGTTGCCCACGGGATCTGGGAGAGGTCCTGGTTCCTGCTGCGAGGCATTCGACAAAACAAGCTTGAGCCAGACCTTCTCACGTTCGATGCCTTGTCGGCGTCCTCGTGGCCGGCATCTGTCTGCATGTTGACGTGCACAGTGCACGAGGCTCTACAGCCCGATGTGTTCTGCCACAACTCTGTCATCGCCGAGGGGGGCGTAGGCTGGGAGGGTGGGCTGAACATGGTGGACACCATGCAAGCATCAGGACTTCGTCCAGATGTTGCTACGTATGATGCTTCGATAGGGGTTTGCGCTGGTGCCCGCTGGCAGACGGCTTTCGCATTGTGGAACATCCTTCGGACCTCATGCCGGGCAGACGTGGTGGCACTTACTGCAGTTCTGGGCACTTGTGCGGATGTCTCGAAATGGCAGGCCTCCGTTGGCTTCTGCGAGGAAGTACAGACAGTGGACCTAATCGCCTGCAATGCTTTAGTCCATGCGTGTGCTAAGGGCAGCATGTGGCAGGATGCCCTGTTCCTGTTCGATGCAGCACCCGGGAATCGAGTTCTCCCAGATGAAGCAACACAGAGCTCCCTTCTCGCATCACTGTCGGCCGGATCCTATTGGGAGCTTGCCTTGTCGGCCTTCTTTGAATGGTTCCGGAAGCCGTCGGCCCGCACGCCATGCACGCCTCTCGTCTGCAGCGCGCTGTTGAGTGCCTTGTCTGCAGGCTGGCAGTGGTTATTTGCCCTGGAGCTCCTGCGCATCATGGAGAAATCTAGCGTGGAAGTGAGCCGGGAGTGCCAGAACGCGGCCGTCGACGCCTGCGGGCGCGCTGCGCAGTGGCAAGGAGCCTTCGTTCTCTTCGAGAGTTTAAACCCAGGAGGGGAGTCAGGGAACTCCATCGGCTTGAACTCGGCTTTGGCCGCCTTGGCCCGGGCGGCAGAGTGGTGCCAAGCCTTGGCTGCCTTGGCTTTGCCGGTCCGCTTGCAGCGGAATGGGATCAGCTTCAGTTCTGCGGGCCATGCTCTCGCCAGATGTCTCCTCTGGGACCGTTCCTTGCATGCCCTGAAATTCACCAAGCAAGCGGGGGTCCAGCCGTGCCATGCGGCCTACAATTCTGCGGCTTGCTCTCTCGAGAAGAAGCACTGGTCAAAAACTCTGAGCCTCCTGAATGCCATGGGGATCCTGCAGGTGGAAAGAGACGACGTGGCTTGCAGCAAGCTCTTGAGCTCATGTGCCAACACGGCTCAGTGGAGATTTTCTCTGTGCATGCTGGGCCAGATGCCTCGCAATTCACATGTCTGTACTGATGCAGTATGCACATGTGCGGTCCGATCTTTGACCAGCGCGTTGAGGTGGAGGGATGCACTGGAGCTCTGGCTGTGTTCCATGCGTTCCAGTCCTTCTGCAACCTTTTCAAGCTTTATGCTGGACTGCATACTCCATGGCTACATGGCGTCTGGCCACGGCCATGTCCAGCTACTTCCTTTTATGCTCAGTCGGCTGGAGTCCACGCCCTTCTTAAGGAGTGGCTCTCCGCTCAGGCAGAAACAAGGAACGCGTCCGCAGCGGTGCGGCTTCGGCGTCGCGGCTAGGGCTAGGACTTGTGTTCCCACCTTGGGTTGCTACGTATAAGAAGCAGCCGGTGCTTCGAAGGTTTTCAGGGGCCCAGCTTGCATAGCTTGCACGAGTCCGGCAGACGGCAGACGGAACTGGATCGGCAAAGCCCCAACAGGAACACTTTCTCGAACACAAACAGAATCGGCGGAGATCAAGCCTCCCCCGCAGAATGGAGGTAGTGGAGTTGGACAAGCTTGCCTTCAGGGAGTTCCGGGACTTTAGGGTGTTGGTGGCACGACATTTATCATTGCGGATACTGAAGGCTTCCTTGCGCCTCACGATACATGCAATCGCGCAAGTCCACATGCATGTTCGTTGTCCTGATGCAAGTTCGTACGATGCATGTATGCACGCCTGTACGTATATCTACGTCTACGTCTGTCTGGTATCAGATTATGACATTTATGACTGTCACCTGCATTCATAATGAAGTAGATCTGCTCAGGTGCCTTTTTCAGAAAGTGGTCAGTAATAATAACTGTATGAATGTGAGTGCATGTCTCATCGTGTGATAGCACGAAGGTGCTTGTGAACGTGCATGAATGAGTCGCTATCTGCGCGCACACACCTCAACACACATATCGCGCATGCAAGCCTTCAGAGATGCTTCATAGATCCGTTTGCAAAGAGGCTCTGACCTCGCCCCTGTTTCTGCCGTCCTGTGCCAGTCTGTACGACGCTTGGATTTCGTGACCGAGGCGCCCTGGCACAACTGGTCTTGCCACCTGGGAGTTTCCGACAATAGGGGACCCTAATAGAGCACCCTAAACAGTAGGATAATCATGATAGGCACCCCAAAATCAGGTACCCTTAATTTTCGGAAACTCCCACCTGTCCCCACCTGTCCAGGCTTTCTGCAGTTTTATGCAGTGTTCAAGGCTTGGGAAGGTTGTCGGCGGTGCGCAAAGGACCCTTGATTGATGTGCCTGGCGAGTAGCTGGCACTTAGCTGTAGTACTGCTTGTGAGGATGAAGGCACAGGCATGCAGAATAGTCGCAATGCAGGTTTACGCCTGAAGTGTTCTCCAGGCACAGAGCTCCATTTCAGGCGCTGTCTCACTGAAGGAGCAAGCCGCCGCCTGGCTCAGTCGGCTCAGGCAGAGAGTGCCACGAGACGACATGCTACCAGTACGATGTCTCTCGGAACTTAGGAGAAAAACAGCCGGGCCATCGGCAAGATCATACCGACATGGCAAGCTGTTGAGGGCACTGCGGTCAGCATGTGCCCGTCAGTGCTGGCAACGAAGGTGCGGCCCGTTGAATGCCCTTTCTCTTCGCATGTAGCTGCATTCCACAGGTGAACTCTAAACGGCCCTTTGGCATCCTCAAGCCTCAGAGCCAGGACACCATTGGCCACCTGCAGTGTCGGACGACGGAGTTCGTGAGCAAAGCCGGTCTCTCCTCCTGGGTCCCATCGCAGGCAAAGGGACCTACACGTATGGGGTGGGGCGAAAAGGAAGACCAGAACCCTGATGTCAGAAGTAGCGGACGCTGCGATCCCATGCATGGCTCTGACGCCTGGCCCTGGCGAAGCCCACGGGGGATTTGAGGGCCTTTCAAGCTGGAAGATCGAGTGCCCTGCAGAGTCATTGTGTGGACTTGAAATGACTTGAAGGGTTTGCTTCTCATGGGTTGGGTCCGGAGTCCAGCCGAGTGCGGCTTCGGCAGGTGACGGACATCGTGGGAAACTGTCCAGCCAAGTTGCCGACGACGGAGGAAGCTGTGGCGCAGGGCTGCCCGCCTCTCGACGGATTCTTGGGGCCGACGAACTTCGTGAGTCCCGGGTCCTTTTCCATTTTTTTTCCTTGCCCGCTCCAAGGGAGAAGGCCCAGTCCGCCAACGTCAAGGATGTACTCGGAGCCTCGCCAGGGAGTCAAGGGCCGGGTACGAGGGGGAGGGTTTAACTCGCATCGCGTTGCGGAAACACACATCTTTCGGCCTTTCGGCGTCCACCTTGGGGTTAAGCATTTCGGAGCCCGGCCTGGCATACATCCAAACCGGCTGGTCTTTTTCCAGACCCCGCGAACTTTTTCCTTCTTGTTAGACACCCGCGGTCCAGAAAAAGACTTTGATCCTTTTTTCGGCCACAAGTAGGGGCCAGAAAAAAGACAAGTTGGGGCCGGAAAAAGATCAAATGCTTTGTCGTGTGTGTTTTCAAAGTTCACTATTTCATTTTATTCTTTGCTTGCACCCCTTGAGGCGATTTCGTGTGGCTTCTCCTTCTTCGTGTTGGAAAACGTTTTTGAGTTTGATTTCTTTCGTCGCTTTCAGCCCCTAAAGCGATTTCGTGTATTTCAAAATTCTTGTGTGTTTGAGAAGACGTTGGTGTGAAGATAGCATGGATAAGTCAGCTTTTGTCCAGTTTGCATTGCAAGAATTTCATGCTGGAGCTTGCATTGCTGTGTTGTACATGTCATGTGTGCCTGCCTGTATCTTTGCAGAGGTCAAAAAAGACAATAGAGGCTCAGAAAAAGATCCACCGGGGTCCGGAAAAAGACACGGGTTCAGTCACGATATGTTTCGGGGCCGAGAAAAGACCGCTTAAATCGTAGAGTGGAGGTCGAAAAAAAGATTGTGATAATTATTTTAGACCTCGTCGCGGGGCTGAAGAAAAGATGGAGGTCGGAAAAAAGACATGCCGGGGTCGAAATCAAGATGGATCAAGCGCGCGGCCTGAAAAAGACATTTCGGGATCGAAAAAAGAGCAGCCCCATCCAAACATCAATCGTTTCAGCGTCCACCTTGCGGTTAAGCAAGTCGGAGCCCGGCCTGGCATCCAAACATCCATTGCAAACGTCGACCGTTTCAGCATCCGCACTGGGGTGCGGGTGGTATGGAATGGACGGGTTTGCTGGTGCAGTCGGAGACTTTCTTTCAGCAGCTGTTGCCTTCAAAGAAGAGTCTCGATCACTATGTTTGGCCGGGAATCAAGGCCGACCGTAGGCTTCGACCGTTGTATCGCGCAGTACAAGTGTTTCGGAGATGAACGACCGGTGCGTGAATCTTGGCTTGGCTTTTTTCCTGCTCCCAACGGTGAGCTTCAAGAGTCGAGAGTCGGTACGTGGTTTTCGGCTGTCTCGCGCAGTACAAATGCTTCGGAGATGATCGAAGGGTATTTAGTTGCAGCTGCATTAATGCAACAACAGAAACCAGCGTCACCTTCGTGATTCGATGCCCAAACGCATCAGTTCCGCATCAAAATGGCAGCAGTCCATGCCGAGAACGCTGGCGTCTGCGAGGTTTCGTTAAGTTTCGACGTTTCCGGCAACGACCAACAAAATTCCAGCGTCACCTCCGGGATTAAGGTTGGGGTTACGCGTAATTCCGGCGCTGATGTGCAATTCCCTAAGATGACGCCCACCATGGGGTGATGCACATTTCTGCGCCCTGATGTGTGCTAACCCCCCCCTCGTACATGGCAGTCAGCCAAGCTAAGTGCTTTTCTCAAAGTCACCAGTGCACCTCCGCCGTGTGATGCAAAGTTCAAGCAAGTCCGAGGTTCGCTCTCGCCCCTTGAAGGCCTCTGGCCTTCCCGCGAAACTTCCCCCAAGCCTCGCACCGTTCTAAAACAAGCATATCGCCACGGTCGAACCTCCACATCCCAAGCCATACCAGCCATTTGGTTTGTTCTTCCTCCAGCCTGGGCGTGTTAGCGAGGTGAGCACTCTGAGACCCTCGGTTGGGCAATGGCTGTCGGCGGCGGTGTGGTAGGCCTCGGCATCTGTGGAGGAGCGGTGCTTGGCAAAAAAGGCTACTGTAGTGCAGTATCAGTATAGTGCTATCAATGACCCTCGTCTTTGCGAAAGTGATTCCAAGACCGAACCCGCTTGCAGGAGGAGCTGCTATCATGAAGAGCAAAGCGAGCAAGGACGAGGAGGTGCTTTCTACCATGTTGTCGCCCTGAGCACCGCAACGTCTAAGGGCTTCTTGTGTCAACTGAGGAGTATGACTCCGAAGAAGATGAGGAGGAGAATCAGACATTGAATGGCTGAGACCGGGTGTGGAACCTTCTCTGACATAGTTCCGGTGCGTGGATATGCAGAAAAAAGCAGAATAACGTGTCGCATAGTAATTGGTTGAATTTCGGCGTGCGGTCATACATATATGGCTATGTCATACCCCTGATCCTGGCCAGGGCAGTGGCTGGGCTGGACCTCCCCAAGTAACCGAAGCATGATCGTGGTTGCTTCCGCTTACTTGAGAAATCAGATGGTTGATTTGCGACAGATGCATGTATCATCGCACTGGTTCGAGAAACGCGGATCGTACCAAGGCCATGGTTGCCTTGTGAGCCGATAAAGCTCCCCAGGAACAGCTCAGCTCTCATGCAACATGCAGCAAGCAGATAGGGAGCATTAGCCCAGCCAGACATCAGCGCGAGCAGTGCATCGTATTTCGCATGCGAGCCCATGCCCCATGGCTGCACCGATCTCAGAGAACTCAACGATTTCCACAAGGAAAGGAGCATGGTTTTCTTGTCTGAAACCAGCAAATGACCCGACAGCAAGGCCACAAAGGCTTCGAGAAGATGCGGGAATCGCGGTGACCGGGCGAAAGAGGCTTGCGCTTTGCTTGCGCTGTGGAGTTTGGGAGTTTCCGAACATAAGGGGCCCAAATAGAGTACCCTAAATAGTAGGATCCTTATTATAAGAAGCACAAGATAAGGTACCCCTAATATTCGGGAACTCCCATTTTTGGAATCTTAAACCCTAAGTAAGCCCTAAATGAGCAAAGGGAGCCTGAAGGATGGGGTCGGGGATGCAGGAGAGTACGTCGAGCACGGGTCGTTAGAGCCAAGGCTGGTCTAGGCGGGTTTTGGCGACGGAGATCCGTGAGGGGCTGGGGTTGCAGGTAGGTTTGGATGGCAATGCAACTGTAGCAGTTGAATGTTTTAATGTACGAGAGCGAGAAGAATCTGACAGGCGGCTTCTATCATGACTTCCAACGCCTTTGGACAGCTTACAGCTTTTGGAGGGGCTTCGGTTGAGACAAAATGAAGAAGCTGGCCATCCCAGGTCCAACACTTTGAACTTTCCCACGGTCAATCTGTCGGAGGTTTCAATGCCCCCTGAATCCGGAATCGCGCTTCCTCGCCCCACTGAGCAGAGCTCTATGCAGGTAGGACAGTGATGTCAGTGCTGTACCTGGTCTGCGATCTCGCAGCTTGGTGCAACCGATTGATCCAGAACTTTCAGTGATTAGGGCTTGTCTTTAGAAGTGTGGAAAACGAGAATCCGTATGTTGCAGGCAGAGCCACCGAGTTGTTTCTGCAGGGCCAGTTTGATGATTTCTGTGATAGACCTCAGTTGCAGGACAATGCGGTCTTCACCTTCACTGCAACTATGCGGACAACCTGGGAGTTCTCTAGACTGTCGTCTTTTCATCAAGAGAATGGGAAGGACCAGCTCGTTTGCTGCAGAAGCGGTAAGTTTCCAGAACCAGGTGTGTTAGTACATACATGCTTGCCAGCGGGCTTGCATGCGCAGGTGTAGTCACACATGGAGTACAGACTATAAGAAGTGTATACATAGAAGTACCGGCATATGTACATACGTACATACATGCATGTAGACATATGCACAGATGCCTGTATGCATGTATTCATATATGTACACTTAACTGTATGTCTATACAGATGCGCTCCTTCACACATCAAGTCATAAACGTCAGTCAGACAGAACACACACCAAGACAACAGAAATTCTCCCCCTCTCTTCTTCATATTTGTTTATCCATCTCCCTATCCATTCATCCTTCTATCTAGCTATCTATTTGCCCATCTATCATCATCTATCTGTCTAGCTTGTTTGTCTCTCTATCTGACTAGCTTGTCTCTCTACCTAGGGTTGATGATATAAATCCTGCATGACCCATTATAAGGGATATATATTTACCATAATTCCCGTAGACTAGGGTAATCCAGGTAATGCAGGATTTATATCATCAACCGTTGTTCTCTGTATCTCTCGCCCGCTCTCTCTCTCGTTCTCTCTTTCAATCTCTGTCAGTCTCTCTCCATCTCTCTACCTATCTACCTGTCTATCTATCCATCTATCTGTCTGTCCATCTAGACATCTATCTATCTATCTATCCGTCTATCCGTCTCTATCCATCTCTCCATCTGTATCCATCTGTCTATCCATCTGTCTGTCTGCCTATGTCTGTCCGTCTGTCCGTCTGTCTGTCTGTCTGTGTGTCTGTCTGTCTGTCTGTCTGTCTGCCTATGTGTATGAATGCGTGCCTGCATGTGTGCATGCATTCCGGCAAGCAACACGCACGCACACGCCCGTACATACATCCAACGTCCATGGAGGCGTGCATGCATGCCTGCCTGCCTGCCTGCCTGCGTACGTGCATACATATATATATGCGTGCATGTACATATATTATGTGTAGGTATATATATATATATATACACACATACAACATACACATACATGGGCGTGTATATATATATACACATATAGATAGATACACGTATATGTATACATACATGCACACACATGCATGTATGCGTGCATGCATGCGTGCATGGATGCATGGATGCATGGATGCATGGATGGATGGATGGATGGATGGATGGATGGATGGACGGACGGACGGATGGATGGATGGATGTTTACATGCATGGATGTTTACATGCATACATACATACCTATATGTGACTGCAAGTACCTACACCGTCGTTTCAGAGTATGCGCATGCCAGACACAGCCATCAGTGCACTGCAGGCATCTTTACTATCTTAAGTGCATCCTGAAGTTGTGGACGATGCTTTTCACCACAGCATGCCAGACTGTATAGCAGTCTGGCAGGTGGGACCAGGCTCCCTATGCTTTGCAATCTTTGCAGAAGTCGGCTATACGCCCCAGCATGCTGTGCACAGTAGAGCGGCGGTGACCGGGAGGTCTTCAGATAGCCAGCCGCGATGCCAAAGCCATGGGGGCCCCCGCGGCGTGCACCGCGCGTGCCATGCGTGCGGCGGCCTGCACGGGTTGGTGCGCCCCGGGCCGGGGCAGAGTTGGGTGACGGGTTTGACATGTCTCCATGACCGTGAGCTGTGCGGGCTGAGTTCGGCATTGTGTGGGTTTGTTGTCCGGGCGGAAACGGCCAAACGTCATTGGAATAGAAACTTGTTGCTACTTGTTCTGGCCGTTTTCTGCGACTTTTTTTGATACCAAGCGCCTCTACCTGATTATTTATAATAATAATAATAAGAATAGGGATCCTATTATTTAAGGTACCATATTAGGGTCCCCGATTTTTCCTTTGAGAAATTTGTCGTGGGCCCAGTTTCCTCGTCTCCCTGGCTCTGCTCCTCCTCCGCCGCTGCAGCTTCGGGGGGCCCTGGGGGCACCGCAGCGGCGCACCGCCTCCGCCTGGTGGCCTTCAGCCTTGGGCGGACCGTTCGCTGAAGGCGCCCAGGGGGCCAGACCAGACATTTTTTTGAAAAATGGGGATCCCTTTGACCTGGAAGCTGGAGAAAAGGGGCTTTTGGTGAAGGCGAGTTTCGCAGGTTGCGGGCACGGTGCTAGTTTGCAGTGAAAGTCGTTCGCCTTGGGATTTCAGGATTCTGCAGGCGGAAGATGTCTGGGCTTCGCCTTGTGAATGCATCCTTCCGGGACACAGACCGTCAAGTCGTTCAGCAGAGTGTGTTGACTAGCACGCCAAGATTCACGATGGGCGCAGCATGGTAGCAATACCAAGCGCCAAGAGCTGAAGTAAAGTCGAAGATCAGTAAGTCACTAAAAAGTGTCAGGACAGCAATTCATTTTTTGGACCGATGTGAGATTTTGGGTAGCCTTGTGCCGACATTCCGCGATGAACACAGAGAGCCTAGTCTTTGCAGCAGCCTGCTGAAAGACAGAGTTGGAATCGTAACTTCCCTACTGTACACTCTAGACGATCTAGACGCGAAGTCCCCAATTTCAAGCGCTCTTTTCGTTCGAAGTGTGTCCGAGGCTCCTCCACCCCTTTAAAGCCCCCAGGTCTTCGGCGTTCTGGTGGCTGCCTCGCCGGGCGTGGCGCCGGAGACCCTGCGCCATGCGGCATCGATCCTGGCGGAGTTCTTGGACCAGGTGCGGTCCGCGAGGATTTCGGGCCACTGATCTGTGACGTTTGGGCTACTGGTGATTGGAGTCATGTGGCTTTTGACCGGAAGGGAGTAGGGTGCACATGTAGCCTGCCACTGTGGCTCTAAGGCTTCAAGTCAAGAGTAGGCTGGAACCCTGCGATCATGAGCATGGCATCGCCCATCGCTCGGTGTCCGAAGTTCGCAACGGAAGCGCAGCTTTGCCGCAGGACCAGGACGGCGTCGCGGATGTGCCCGAGGTGACGAGGCAGCTGCAAGAGCACCAGGCGCTGATTCTCATTCTCGCGGATGAAGGCCCGAAGGCCCTGACATCCGCAGAAAGGTGCTACTGCTTCGCTTCAGAGTGCTGACATCATCTGAGATCCCTTCCCTTCCAGCCCCCCATGTAACAGCCATGCCGTGAGGCTTTCTCGTTTACTCTTCCCTTCTAGTCCTTAAAAAATTGTAGGATGGTTGACCCCTCCCTAAACCCGAAAACCCTGAACAATTCCTTTTCTTCCCTGGCAGACGAGTACCTGGCCGGAGCCGGCGCCGTCGAAGGCCTCGGGAGCAAAGTGATCAAGAACGACAATCCGAGCTGGAACTGTTCCGACTCTGATGCTGCAGAATTTGGGCTTCGGTTTGGGGTTTTGGGCTTTGTTTCGGGCTTTCGCAGACACTGCAGGTATGAAAGGCTTCAGGCAGACGATGCAGCTGCGATTCGTGCGGGAGGCAAGGCGGAGGACACTTGACCAGACTCTTCGCGTCGGAGGGCATGGGGGATCTGTTTCGAGTGTCACCTGCTCCTTGCAGGGGCTCTCGATCTTGCGACAAAGGTTCGGGACGTGTTCGTGTTCTCCGAGCTTTTCCAGACGGAGACCGCGGGCCGCGAAGAGGGCGAGGATGCAGCTTGGGAGGACACGACGACGGATCTTGCGGCCAGCTGGGCGTAGCGGCCTAGCCACTTAGACAGAGATGTGCCGCTGAGAGGAACTCCTGCACCTCATCACCCACGTTGGATATGGCTGTGCATTCCCAGAGAGGCATGCAAGCATCTGCCGTGACTGTCGTAATGTTTCAGACGTGTGCAAATCGAGCAGGTCCCCACCAAGTCGCATGTCAAAGCCTCACGCATGTCAGAGCATGCCTGTCTTGCCTTTCAATAAAGGGATCTGGATCACGCAGAAGTCTTGCAAATGCCCGTGCCACAGCTTTTTTTGCTCGTTTTCTGTGGCCCCCCTCTGTTGACACAAGAAAGCATGGCCGGACAAAACAATTTCACGCCGTTATGGGTGTCCGGAGGTGGGGCTTCCATGAGCACACCGAAGAGGCCGGTTGCACGGACGGACAGGTGCGTCCCGAGTGAGGCAAGCTCAGATCACGTGCATGTGAACAATTAGTGCGAAGAGTCACGAGCAGGGCATGAGCCCCTGAGAGCCATCAATTCTCAGCTTCACCTCCCGAACTCTCGTGCTTCGATTTGTTTGTACTGCTGGGCTGCTGCTGCACCTTCTGCTTCTTCTTCTCCTTTTCTACTATTGCCATTGCTACTGCTGCTGCTGCCTGCTCCTGCTACTGCTGCTCCTACTACTACGGCTACAACGACGACGACTACGACTACGACTGCGACTACTACTGTTACTGCTCTTGTTCCTGCTCCTACTGCAGCTACTGCTGCTACTGCTACTGCTACTGCTATTGCTATTGCTACTGCTGCTGATGCTGTTGCTGCTGCTATTGCTACTGCGATGGCCAGATGCAGAACACGAAGGCCAAAGAAGAAACGTTTGTCGTATGAGGAGTCACAATGGAAGGTACAGTATTTCTGCAGTTCCCCTCATCCTCCAACTGAAAAAGAGCTCCGGAAAAGGGGCCCCCACCCTGTAATGGTGACTATAAGGATGGTATTAGGGCCCTATTATATTCCTATTATACCACTATTACAGGGTGGGGGCGCCGTGTCCTAACGGAGACCCCCAAAAACCAGGGCCACTCTTCCGAGTTGTCCCGAGCCCTCGATGCGGTGCCTCGGCTTCTGGTTCCCATCAAACTCATGGTTTACAGGGTTCCCAGAGAGCCCAATACCCCTTAATTAAGCAATATGGCTTGAATCATATTATGCGCCCATATGCGCCCCCTTATATTTTAAGGTATATTCCTTAATTAAGGGGTATTGGGCTCTCTGGGTTGAGGTGTTCGGGTTGCAATCTTCAAGGGTCGCCAGGATGCCCGAAAGCTTTGGTGTGGTGGGCCGACAGCGGAGTACGTGTTTCTTCAAATTCCCAAGTCTTTATGTGTTACCGCCGGGATCCTTCACAAATCCTAACC